AAAGTCACAAGGGGAAATCAAAATAAGGAACAACTTAACAGAGCAACCCAGGAACCATGGCCTAAATAAAGAACAAAATACAAAATACAAAAATGCTGGGCCAACATGGCCCAGGATCATGACACGTAGGAATCAAAACACTTGTGAAATTATCTAGCAACTAGTCAGAGTTTACCGTTAAACTGTTTACTGTTAGGTTTAGTTCTTCGATTTATACCAATGGATGTTAATGACATAACTGACATGAGATGATGACATGAGATAAAATATCCACCCATCCATTCTCTTTCACTTATCAGGGTTGTAAGGCACCGTAGAGCCAGAGGCCATTTAGCCCCTGGACAGGTCACCAGTCTTTCACAGGGCTAACACAGAGAGTCAGATATCCATTTGCACTCACATTCACACCTTTGGCTAATTTAGAATCACCAATTAACCTAAACCCACTAACTGCATTTCTATATGGGAGGGAGAGAGAACCCACACAAACATGGGGAGAACATGCAAACGCCACAGAGAAAGACAACAGCCTGGATTGTGGAGTCAAACTCAGGCCTTCTTGCTGTGAGGCAACGGTTTTAACCCCCGTACTACTATGTGTGAGGAATTAGAGATATATTTTACTGCTATTGTTAATGATCATCATCATTACCATCGCATTAATAATACAGTTTGCAGTATTGATATTGTATTCAGATGTTTAAACATATTGGTACCCAATTAGCCTTTATTACAGGTGCAGTTATAACAACTCTAAACTGTTGAGTTGAATCTATAATCTTAAATGCTTTTGAATGCTTGTTATAATCTGAAATGTGTATGTGCTGGCCTTCTGTCTGGTGGAAAAGGTTACAAGTTTCAGCTGGTGAAGGGAGAGGTGAAACTGAGTGCAGTTCATGATGACACACACTCACACATTAGACTCATTTATAGGTGAGAGGTTAATCATGTTTGCTTGTAACTCTAAAATTGTCTCTGTCAAAGAGGAACAGTTTCTTGCAGGGTGGGGGTCTGGTTTTCCAGACAAGAAGTGAAAGTCAGAAGGCTGACAGCAAGCATGTGCTGTGGAGACGGAGACAATGTTATTTTAAACTGTGTTAAGTCATTGTGGTTTTGAAACCTATGTATGAACTGTATCTGAGTGACGTTGAAGGGGCGTCAGTAAATTTAAGCCCTGAAAGGTATAAAACACCTGCTTATGTTCTGTAAGTTGGGGATCGGCGTTGTCTGCGTACAGCGGTGGTCTCCCCACGCGTGTCATTAAAATCATCGTTTGACTCCACCCGGCCGGATCAGTGTTGTTATTATGGAAGTTGATTACCACCTTTACCCCTCCTCAATATTTGAACCTAACATTTGGGAGGCTAAATGTGTGTTTCACAACTATTGAAAATGTTAAAACACTGAACAAACCTCCTGGTGTTCAGTGGCATAGCAGTAGTCCCTGCCATGTAGCATCCTGTCATTATGAGTTGTTTACAATGGCTACAGTCATTATTTAGGCTTATGGAAAGACAGTCTTGTTTAACTTTAACGATGCCTTAACCAGACTGAAACACATGGTTTTTGCAGCGTTCAGTGATCACTTAAATAACCATACATTTAACCAGAATTACAATTTCAAGTTGAGTTCTTTTAAATTATTAAGGGTTAAGTGTTTACAATGGCTCGATAACTGTCATATTGACATTAATATAAAATGTGCTTCAGCTTTGTTGTGTTCTGAGAAACCCACAAGAATCAAATATGAGACGACAGGACTTACATTTGGTGTTGTTTCATGTGCTTTAGTTGGAACAATGGTTGATACTGTTTCCGCTCCAGTAATGGAGTGATACACCAACATAACAAGTAGCCAATCAGACTGCTCTGAAATAGTTCCTTCCCACTACCAATATTTATATCTGGATGATTCTTTTATATTAAGTTATTTTACAACAGTATCAGGAAGGTAATACAACAAACAAACAAACAAAAACAAAATCCAGAAATGGTTGTATTTTATTTGTTGCTGACGCTCAGTTTTGGATGTAAGTATTTGTAGAGACATTAGATTTACAGCTGATAAATATATTTCAATTATTGCCATTTCAATTGTGGATTATTTAAGTGCAATTATGACTATTTAAGTTTTAGACTTAAGCAACCTCTATTGGACATACAGATAAATAAATAAAAGCTGAACTACCTCCAGATCAACGCCAGTAAAACCACGGAGCTGGTGGTAGACTTCCACAGGCACAAGCACTCTCCACTGCAACCACTGAACATCCAAGGTATGGACATTGAGGCTGTGGACAGCTACAGGTACCTTGGTGTTCATCTGAACAA